ATTTTTTTCACTCCTCCTCCTGGGTGTCCAACAACACAGGCTGCACCATCTAAAGGTACAGGTCCAAATCTCTTGAGGAGCCCTGGTGGAACCTGACTCTCTGTTATTAGCTCAAGTATGACATAATCTAATTCAGCGTCACCAACAAACACCTTGGCATTAATCTTGTTAATTTCTTTAAACTCTTGTGTTTCAAAGTTAAAGACAGCAGTAACGTTTAAAGTTTTATGCCAATCAGGTAATTTTGAGTCAATCCAGTATTTGAATAAGTGGGCATTCGTCAAGACAAAGTTGTCAAATAGCACAAAGCCTGTGCCCTGTATTATGAAGGGATCATTTATGGGTACCTCCAAGAGACAAACTGACTCACTCAGTTCAAGCAGCAACCTGACTTTGTGAATTTCACTAAAAGACTGTTCGATCTTTCCAAAGTTCTCCTTCCTCAGTTTCAGTGCTTCCTGGAAAGAATTTTCAGGGAATTTACTCTCCATCCATTTTTTCTGATGTTCATACTGCTTCTGCAGTAGCTTATAAACCTCCTTAGGGTCAATGCTGCTGCCTTTTTCTTTGATTGCTGTTTTTAGACTGATTCCCTGTTGCTGTGCTACAGCTAAGACTGATCTTGTTTCTCTTGCGCGCGCTGCATTAGTTGATGCAGATTGTCCCTGTGGACACAGACAAAAGGTATATATAAGCAACTGTGTGAAATGTCTAAAATGTTTTGTCTGTCGTTATTTAAACAATATGATGTTTGAAAACTTTATAAAATATTTTTGGTACCGTTTTGCTACTTCCATGCTTCTGCCCTCTGTTTCACACTAATCCGAAGAAGCATTTGGCTTGAAAGTTTATCATAATTTAAATATGTTTTATAGAAACTTTTCCCCACCATGTAGCCAATTCCTTTTGAAAGGGTAAAAGTGCGTTGACAAATTACTGGTAAGAAATATTTTAAGATTGAAAGACTCACAAAGACACATAAAAGTCTTTAAATCAGTGCAGACAATATACAGATTTTTATCATGTAAAGAACCTTCCTCATGAAGCGTTGTAGCTTGTCATCGACTTCATCTCAACTTTTTACCACACAGACAAGAAACTGCTCAAACAAATACAAAGCGAAAAAAAGTTATATTTTTTACTGTAACAACCACAAACATGTTTAATGAATCATATTTCATAACTTTAAATGCAATTATAAATTGTCAATTTTAAAATCATGTGCACAAGTTTTGCAAACAGTAAAGTTATTTGCAGCCATTTACCTTTGACCCTTTTTAATAACCATTTCAAACTATTTACAGAACAATCAGCTGTTCTGCATTCAATACAAATTATTTGTGCCACTCAAAGAAAATAATTTCTGTCCACTATAAAGGTGAACATCACAGCCTGATACCTGCAGGTCTGACAGCAGCAGGTGTA